CTACCAACACTTTACAGAATCCATCTTTCTGTAAAATGATTAATAGAAATCTCATCAAGCTTATAGTGCTATAGCAACTAGTCTATGAAACATGATGTACTTATATGATTCTGTTTTCTTCAAGGTTGTATCTTCCTGGTCGAATGTACTTATCGTAAGTAGCTTTGGATAAAAGCGTCAGCTAAATGTAATGTCATGTAGTTGGAGTCTCGTAACACTAACATTTATGTTATTATTAATAACTTTTAGAAACATTGGTTGATATGGAGCCAAAGTCAAAATATGGAAATGTACCGAAGAGAAACTTGGAGTTATGTGGTTCGTCTCCACAAAGCCAGACAGAGCAAATACAATATACTGACAAATGGCAAAGATAACTCTGCTGTAACATACGACAACATACACAACAGTTGAGAATGTGAACTTACTAAACCATTTGATGTTCGGTTCCACTCTGGCCACAGTCCCTGGAGCCACTGTGGACTGGTACGATAGAGGTCGGATGACTTGTCCACGGTCATTACTGGGAACAGAACATCATTGTCAGTGGGAATATTATTGTTACGCATCTGGCACTTACACAATCTGCCACATCTCACAAGAATAATGCACAAGGGGTTACCATCTTTTCTTCTGCCTGTACATATTCAGACGTTTGATGGTGGCTCGGTCCCTCATGTTGTTGCCTCCAGCCCCTTTGACTCGATCTGTGGAATACATGTAGAGTTAGAGAGATGTATTCAACAACAAAAACATTCAATCTATTTATGTACGCCAGAGATATTTGGGAAGCAGTGATGTCAAGTAACTAAGTGGAGTTACTCAAGAACTGTATTAGTACAATTTTTGAGAGACTTGGCTGCCTTGGCTATTTAAATGTTTTGCTACTTTGTACTTCTACCCAACTATAATTCAGAAGTGAATCGTGTACTTTGACACTACATTCATTTAATACCTTTAGTTACTACAGATTTAAGTTAATTATGTGAATTATAATCAACCTTTAAATAGGACTTTAGTTCCACCTGGAGTCAATTCTACCCTGCAGTATACAAAGTCATTCAAACTAGCTCCACCTTTAATAACACTTTAATGCATCAATAATTATAATCAAAACATACATTATATTATTCTGAAGCTGGCCAATCTGTACAATTGTGGTGCTTTAAGTATATTTTGATGCTAACACTTTTCTACTTTTACTAGAGTAACATTTTGATTACAGCGCTTGTACTTGTAACAGAGTATTCCTACACTCAGATACTTCTACTTTTACTTTAGTACATGATCGGAGTACTTCTCCCACCTCTGTTGTGAATACATCTTATGGCTAGACCATTTCATGAGCAGCATAGAAGGAAATGTACCTTTAAGAGTCAGTTTGCACGGACTACTTTAACGCAGATGTATATCTCTGTAGTTAACGTTAAGCTGTGTCATTCTTTACGATATGATTTAAAGTGCTGTAGGAACATTTTAGGTTTGAGAAAATGATAAAAGAAAGAGTCATTAGACATTATGAAGATGTCAGGTAACCTGTTTGGCTGATGGTAGATTGTTGTGTTGACTTTTGATTGTGATTTTGGTTTGGACTATTTGAAGCAGCTGTGACCTACCATCGATTTTTATTTTTATTTATCATCTTTGAATAAGGGGCTGGTCAAATAAGTTTTCTCCATGCTCCTTTCCATCATGGGCTACACAACTGCTTAAAGTGTACATGTTTTGTTTTATGAAGTGTACGTGTGTAGTTTCATAATAGTCGCCATGAGTTGAATAAACTAATAATGCATCAATTAATAATAGCAGCTTTTTCAAGTCCATTTGACACAAATCCCACTGAAGTGAAATTACTTCAGTGTCAAATTTAAAAGGCCTCACGTTAACTGGTGTCTCATTTCTATAGCCAGTTATCTTTCAGTCAACATGAATTATGCGTTTACATTTGACTCATTGTACTCTAAATATCAGTGACTACTTTAAAAAAAGGATACTACCCGTTTTGTGTGTATTTTAAAGAGCATTATATCACCCAGCTAGCAGCAATTAGCATTAGCTGTAAACAAACTCACCAGGGTTGCTGCTGGACGTCGAGGTGTTTATGGAGCTTTTCCCCTTGAATCCGGGCTTCACCATGTTGACGGTTTAGTCGGCAAAGCCTACACCGAAAATAAAATGAAAAGAAAACACAACGGTGTGTGAAAGCTGAGGTTTAGTTGCTGTTATTCCCTGCAGCTCGACACTGTACACCGCACACGTGTTGTTACGATGAAACAGGAAGGACGTCATCAAAGGAGCGACGGCTCACCAACCAGAGGAAAAAAGAAGAACAAATAATCAGACAGTTTATATTATGAATATTTATTTCATTTAGTTGTTTTTCAATTTATTTTTAATCTCTTCGTTTGATTTAATGTATATTAACCTGTGTCTATTTAATTTTAGATATATTTCTGTATACTGTACTCTTCTTAACTGATTAAAAACTGTTTTATCAGAGAGCTCCACTGTTATAACTGTAATGTATAAAAAGGCCTTTTGTGAAATTCGAATTTATATGAATAGCTTCACGCTTAGTATGTTATATTATATTGTGTTCTGAATTTAATGTAGAATTTCTGTAATTGTAAATGGAAATGATAGATTGTAAAAGTACTTGCACAAGAATGCACTAAATCAGGGGTGTTTAAGATTATATAAAAATACTTATTTAATTATTTAATATATATAAAATAATATATTATATTATATTATTGCCTCTGCATTGGATTATTATTGGATAGGGTAATAATAACTTCATAATTAACTACGTCTGAAAGCAGAAGTCTAGGGCAAATACCTGCAAGTCTCTTCAGTGTGCACGTCACAAAATGATTTAAAAAGAAAAGCCAAATTCTGGAGGAAAAAAAAGTCAAAATAAAATAAAAGAACATGTGGGACATGTGGTTTATGGGCAACCTGCTTCTGTAAATCGGCATGTAACCGTATAATAAATATACAATATTCTTTGCAAGCTCTTGTGGGGCCGCATGAAATGAAGTCACGGGTCGGATTTGGCCCCGGGCCTTGAGTTTGACACCCCTGCTCTATGTGATGACATACTACATGGCCAAGCTTTGAACAATTTATATACGTATTAATCCTGCACATAACTGCACAACATTAAAACACATTTAAGGATGAATCCAGATATGAAAAACAAGTAAGCT